AAGAAGTTCATATCCGGGAAATTGTACATGAAACGAAATAATCAGATGATCAGAGTTTGCTCCCACTGCTAACCTATGGATGTAAAACGGGACCCTATAAACTGCAGACTGCGTTTCGCAGCTTAAAGATGCGTATGTCGGAAATAACAAGCAAAACTGCGACAAGCGTATCGGTAAGAGCACAGACAAGTCTGCGATCATCGCTTGAGTGAAGAAATTGACAGTGAGAGTAAGGAATAGCAATGAAATAGACACGTGGCAAGAAAAACTAACCGTCACAGAAACAGGGACGCGTTTGACTTGCTTCCAGGAGAGAGTCAATGGCTCGTTTGAAGACCTCCAGATTGATGGCAGGATGAGGTGAAGAAGTTGACTGGATCAAAATGGACAAGAGTTGCAGAAGAAGAAGGTCTATAACAAAGTTTTAGAGAGATTCAGCAGTGTATCGAAAATAGCTTATGATAGTTGTTTCTGTAGGTGAAAAAAGGAGTTCTCCACTTACGCTGTTCCATGAAAGACAGCGACGAAGAGTACCTTCGGTTTCGTTATACGATTTTCTTTTACTTGACATTTGATTCGATCGATCAGAATTCTTTATCAATTCGTTCAGACTATCGACATCGGAGGAAACTGAGCGACACTTCTAAAAATCATTATCGATTCACATCCAATAGCGTCTGTCCTAAAGACCAGCTTAGCAAATAATTTATAGTGAGACACAAACGCCGAAGAACTAGTCGAAGAACTTTGTCGAATAGTTATCAAGGAGACCCAAGTTGTCAGTATTTCCTGAAGGCAGTGTTTGGCTTTCTCATCTATGTATTTACGTTATGATGCTATTGCACAAACATAATAATTTGTTCGTAGTATGTTAAATAACGAAGGACTCATCAAAACCAGTTTTCATCAAATGCTGCGAAAATGGAGTTGCAAATTATATGCTAAGATCACGTTCAAATTAAGTACTTTTTACGGGTATCCATGGCGATTCCTGAAGCTGCGAGGTAAGGTTTTTGGAACTCCAGTGGTCTTGAGGTAACGACAGTGTTGCACGTTATTGAACATCAGTTACGTAACAAAAACGAAGTGAATCTGTTGGTGCTCGTTGTTGCCATTGACTGCTACTGTTGGAACTGAGACTCAATTATGAATCACAGCATTGTGTAACATCTTTTGAAGACTTTACTACTACACTGGCCTGGTGTCATAGTGTGTGTTGTCATCGCCATCTGGGACAGCAGAGTCAAGGACCGAGTAAAGAGACCAATGATGTCTAACATTTTGGCTTTTAAAAATGATTTAAGCGATGTTGGTTGCTGAGGCAAAGGGCATGTTTCTAGTTGTAAGCAAATCAGCCTCCAGCAGCTGCTTTAGGGTGTGATTTTGGCCTGTGACGTGCCTGAGGCCATTTTTTGCTTCCCAGAGGAAAATGGTTTTGAATGGGTTTCTATTCTCTCGCAGGACGGTTTCGTCGGATCACGACAGATGCCGGTTCCTGATTTTTCAGATGGCATTCTCCGGTCGGTTGTCTTCGAGATTATTTCATTCTTTATTCGATGGACCCAGTGAACTTCCAATTCCATATGCAGCGCTGCTGAAAATTGTCCAACATATTTTCATAGTGCTTTACAGGAGTTGATGCTTCATGGCTGTACATCAGGATTGAGAATTTGCGGCTTTCATTCTGGTGATCTTTGTTGTTGTTCAGATAGATTGGTTTGATCACAC